CTCCAAACACGCTGCTTTAACTAAAAGGGCCTTCAGCTTCAGCAGCAGCTCTGAAGTGTCTCCTGCTGTCAAGACACCTGGAGAGTCCAGGCATGCAGCAGCAGCAGCAGCAGCGCGGGGCCGGCCCAGCTTTTGCAGCAGCTGCAGCTGCAGCAGCAGCAACTGCCAGTCTCCAGGCCGCTGCTGCAGCTCGCTTGTCGCACGCTTTGCTGCAGCATCAAACTCGTGAGCTGCTGTCAGGCTCACAACTGCAGCAGCAGCAGCAGCAGCAGCAGCACAAACGGCAGCAGTAATTGAAGCTGCTGCTTCACTGTTCTGTCTAAGTGTACAGGTTGAAAACTGCATCTGCAGCTGCTAGCGGTGTTGATGCTGCTGCTGCTGTTGTTACTACTGCTGCTGCTGTTGCTGTTGCTGCTGCTGCTGCTGCTCACTGAGTTGGCACGCTACGTGTCTGTTGTCTGGCAGCAGCTCAGAGGCTCTTTGAAAAGCAGCAGCAGCATCTTGGGGCCTCCTGAGCAGCAGCAGCAGCTCCCCAGCTTTGGAGAGTGCTGCAGCGCAGCAGCAAGGAGCAGCAGCAGCTCGGCGGAGGCAGCGGATTGCTGCAATGTTGTCGTCCAGCAGCAGAAGATGCACACCAGCAGCAGCTAGCTGTGCTGCAGCACGCATTGGAGATCCTGCTGCTACCTGCTGCAGCAGCTGCAGCGCAGCAGCAGTAGACCCCATTGCTGCTGCATGCTCAGCAGCAGCAATCACTATCTTGTCGCGTGCCCAGTTGCTGCTGCAGCTGCTGCAGCTTTTGCTGCTGGTTCCAGTGCTGCTGCTACTGTTGCCGCGGTCATATCCGCTGCTGCTGCTGCTGCTGCTGCTGCTGCTGCTGCTGCTGCTGCTGCTGCTGCTGCTCATAGTGACAACATCTGGGCAGCCGAACTCCTGCGCTGCCGCTTGGAGCACTGCCCATGCCTTTTCACGCTGCTTGCTGCTGCTGTTGCTGTTGCTGCTGCTGCTGCTGCCACTGCTGTTGCTGCTACTGCTTGTGCTGCTGCTGCTGCTGCTGCTGCTGCTGTCGAGGCAGTGCAGCAGCAGCAGCAGCGCATGCAGTCTATCGGCGTCTGTACACCCAAGTGGCAAGGGAGCCCACGCCTGGGCCCCTTTGGCCACAATTTCATTTCTTGCTGCAGTGTTGCTGCAAGTGCATGCAAATCCCTTTTTGCTGCTGCTGCTGCTGCTGCTGCAGAGGGCAGCGGGCTGCGAAAGGCAGCAGCAGCGCAGTGCTGCTTCGGCTGTCTCTAGGGCCGCCTCGGGGAACCCCAGCTGAGCCTCCAGTGTGGCTGCACAGCAGCAGTAGCAGCAGCAGCAGCAGCAGCAGCAGTAGCATCAGCAGTAGCAGCAGCAGTACCAGCACGAAGGAATGGACTAAGCGGGAAGAGCGTGTTGCTGCTGCACAGCAGCAGCAACTGGCCCAGCACCGCGTGGAACCCTAAACGCTAAACCCTAAACCCTAAACCCTAAACCCTAAACCCTAAACCCTAGAGGCCTACCCTGCAGCAAAAGGCATGCCGGCAGGGTCTGGAGAGCAGGCAGCAGCAGGTATGCATGCTTGAGTTTCTCTAGAGCTTGCTGCTGCTGCCCCGCGAGGAAGCAGCAGCGGGAGTGCAGCAGCAGCAGCAGCGGCTGCGGCGTCAGTTTGGGGCTGCATGCAGACAGCAGCTCAGAGCAGCGCTCCAGCCGCCCGCACAGCAGCAAAGCCCGACACAGCAGCAGCTGAACAAACAGCAGCAGCAGCAGCAGCAGCAGTAGAGGCAGCAGCAGAAGCAGCAGGTGAGGAAAGTGCACCACTGAGCGAATGGTTGTGGAGGCCTACAAAAGTCTGCAGCAGCAGCAGCAGCAGCAGCGACACAAACAACAACAGTAGTAGTAATAGTAGTAGCAGCAGCAGCAGCAGCGGCGGCAGCAGCAGTAGCGCTGGGAAAAAATCGCAGCAAGGGTAACAGAAAAGGCAGCTTCTGCATTAGCAGCAGCAGCAACAGCTGCAGCAGCAGCAGCAGCAACGGAAGCAGCAGCAACGGCAGCAGCAGCAACGGCAGCAGCAGCAACGGCAGCGGCATTAGCAGCAGACTTTTGCGTCGTGATGCGTGGGTATGTGCTGCAGCAGTGTTTGCAGCACTCCAATTAGCTGCTGCAGCAGCTCCCGCTGCTGCTGCTCCTCCTCTGCAGCAGCAGCAGCAGCAAGAGGCTCAGTGGCTGCCCAAAGCCCCAAAGGCAGAGAAACCCTGCATGCATGCAAAAGTTAAATAATTAAAATTTCTGTTTTTTTATATTATAAATCACCATAAATATTTAATTGTTTAAACTTATTGTTTAGGGTTTAGGGTTTAGCGTTTAGGGCTTAGGGTTTAGTGAGGCAACGCAACCCTAAACCTTAAACCCCACACTCTACATTTCAAGCGAATGACCCCAAACCCTAAACCCTAAACCCTAAACCCTAAACCCTAAACCCTAAACCCTAATTCCTAAACCCCCAGTCCTAAAGCGCATAGTGCGAAGTGCTCACCTGTCTGCACTTGGGGCTTCGTTGCATGCAGCACCAGGAGCAGCAGCAGCTGCTGCTGCAGCATCACCAACTGCTGCTGCAGCATCACCAGCTGCAGCAGCAGCAGCAGCAGCAGCAGCAGCATCGAAGCAAACTTTCCTCAAGGCCCTGGAAGCTACAATAATCCATAGAGAAGAATTGAGGTGTACGTACAGCTCAAACCCGGATGCATTCTGCAGCAGCAGCCGCCAGTCTGCTGCTGCAGCGCGAACAGCAGCAGCGAAAGAGGCCAGGCTGCTGCTGCTGCTGCTGCCGCTGCTGCTACTGCTGCTGCTGCTGCTCCTCCTGGTGCTGCCCGTGTTGCTGTTGCTGTTACTGCTGCTGGAGCTTATGCTGCTGCTGCTGCTGCTTCTGCTGGTGCCGCTGTTACCGTTGTTGTTGCTGCTGCTGCTGCTGCTGCTGCTGCTGCTGCTGCTGCTGCTG